AGCAGCGAGAATCCGATGGCGTTCGGCTCGGCATGCGCTCGTGGAAGCGGTGGCGGGGGGGGGGGCGCGGCGGCGGTGGTCCCGCCCACAGACACCTGTTATGCAGCTTCCGCGGAGCGGGCTTGCGCGGCGCCGCTGTCGGTCGGCAGCACCACGCGCTCGCAGTCGCCGCCGCTCACGTGCTCTCCTCCGCAGCAACGCCTACACTTAGTTGCGACCATCGCCGCCAGATGGCTGCACCGCCGGGCGCGCCGCGCCGCGCCGCGCCGCGCCTCCGCCGCGCGTGGTGCTTCGGCAGTCCGGCAGAGGAAACGACGGAGCTCGCACGCAAGGCGCTTGTACCGCGGAAGTGCCATAAAAAGCACGCTTGTTCGGCGTATCCTGTGCACTACCTCCCTATCATTTTATTGGAAAATGATAGCCACTGTGTTTTTTTCGGCGCTCCGCTGCGTCAGTGCTCCGCGTAAAGCGAGCAAAAAAAGTCGGTGGGGCCATGGTCGGACCCCAGAACGTCTTCATGTACCCTCGAAAAGCAAGTAAAACAATCGACGTACGATAGACTAGCCCACATACTTGCACTTAATTGACTATAATTGGCCGCACGGGATGAGGGCTCATAAATCATCAATATTATGTCCCACTTCCGAACTCTGTAATGCGGTTCACTGTCGGCAAGTCTCTACTTCTTTCGCTCCTCATGAGCACAAGCCGCATTGCAGTCAAACCCGGTCATTATGTGGTGGTGCGGAAAGGCAAGGAGATTGCCTGTATTTAGCACCCGTTCGTTTAAGATTGAAATTTAAAGTCCCCTGTACCTGTTCTTTTTCAGTGGATGTTGTTATTGAGTAAATGGAGCAGGGATTAGAAAAAGTAGATCAAGATAAAACAACGCTGTTAAGCACAAAATTGTCTTCCCGTCCTCTCTCATGTATTATGAATGCCGTGGAAATGTTTTTCCTGTAGATTGTTGGGGTAAATTTTAGAGTATAAAAATATGTCAAATTGAATATTCTGCACGCCTTGCGGTTTCCAAGCATACTTACTTTTCATGTTTATTATTATAAGCTTTATAAAATATTACGAACTACTACAACTATTGATAGAGAGACAATGAAATACATGTTTCAGGCAGAAATCGCGTCTCTAAGAAATTTCTATGGCTAAAATGATACTTTCATTTCTCAATATCTTTATTCTAAAAATTAAATTGAAAAATTTGTTAAGGATTTTCATCTAATAATCTATATGTCAATGCGCTCTAGCTTACTGCTGCATAAACTATTCACGTTTTTAAACCCAATTTATTTTGTAGACATTGTAATGTGAAGAGATATATATTGTGAATAAGAACTAAATATTAAATATATTTCAAACGAGAAATTAAATATATAGTATGTTGTAGTAAAACTAAATTAAATTGCATTTTCTTTTTGAGTCGCTATCTATTAAACAAATACATTAATGTATGAATGAATAAACAAGAACATGTATGTATTTTGAAGTACTGTGCTCATATTTCTTTCACAGTTTATAAATTCCGTTTGTTTTACTGCAATTATTTGCGTTACGCGTATTTCAAACTGAGGCAAACATAATCCATGAGATAGTAAATGCAAAATCGCATGTAATAGTATTCCAGATTTTGGAGATGTGCGGTAAAACGAATGAGTTAGTTACAATAGTACGTTGTACGTTTTTAGTTTGTAACTTCAAGAACTATACAAAAACGTCATTATCGCAGCACAAAATGCTATGAGTATCATTTCAAATTAATATTAAACATTTTGCTTCGTGATTTTTATTGAAAAATTACAGTCATGAATCAGCTTTGTGTTGGATTCACATAGTCTAGACGTTTTTGAAATCTCTAATTGTACTAAGAAAACATGAGAAATTATTTAGAAGCCATTAGAAAAATGGAGATATTTCGAAGATTTTGATTCATCTTGCGTTATAGTTATAGATAAATTAACAAGAAACAAGGTGATTGACGTAATTTTTGTATAAGCCCCTGGAATAGTAAACTTGTGCTAAGGTTTTTGTTATATTTCTTTCTAAAACGAACGGTGAAAGAATTCCAAACTTGTCATAACATTGTGAGTGGAATATCACGCAACTGAAAATTATCCTATCATCTACCCAACCACATGCGCTCAAATAAAAAATTAGCTAAATCTCAATTGCTCGTAAATCAAAAATGCATTATAAATTACCAACCGTCTCATCGTACCAATAAAAAGTAAATCCGAATTCGATGTTGTCAAGTAGCCGAAGGCTTTTGTGGTTACAGCGATGAACGTTAGAAAAACTTTCAGAGCTCAGTGTTGGATCCAAGACAGTACAAGACTTCTTATCTAAAATTCCAGAATTTGAAAAGTTTGCTAGTGTATCTATGTGTTCAAAATCTACATATAAAATCATTAAATTATGGAAAGATTCAAAATTGTGAAAAATTATTTTAAATATATTATGCATGACAAAATATTGAGGGTGTATATATTAATATACAGTGGTGCCTTGATTACTTGAACTTTGATAAGTAGAATTCCTTAATATATATATATATA